AATTAACCGGTTCTTGAATGAAGAATTATTCTGGACGGGAATTGATGATTTGCTTTCAGGATGAAATAACGGCATGGAGAAGAAACATAGATTTTTGACTGAATTATTTCTTTTCTAATAATTTGTTTTTCAGTATATTTTGAGGAAATAAATCGCCAATTTCATTTTGAACATCTTGATACTTGTGTCAATTTGTGGTCTTCCCAAATGTAAACATAAAATATGAAAATAAAATATCTAAAAAAATTCAAATTAAAAGGTTTTAAATACCCCCTCTCTCTTTCTCTCTCTCTATCTATCTATCTATCTATCTCTATCTTTCTCTACTTCTCTCTCAACTAATGAGAAAGTAACTTTCATATAAAAAGAATTGTAACTAGAAATCTACCAAAACAAGATAGGCTCCACGCATAACTTCCGCTATAGAAAAAAAAGAAAAAGAAAGGAACAATGGAAAATAAATAAAAGTATTTTGACCAATCAAAAGAACAGAGACTTTTGATGTTAGCCGAAACGAAGCAAATAGTCTTAAGCCTTTCAAAATTGTATACTAAAAAGACAGCCGACAAACAGCAAGAAGGAGACGGCCAGAAACCGACCCGAGAACTAAGCGGTCATCTGCTTAAACATTTTTCCTCCCTTTGGTGCCGCAACAAATTTGAAAAGTAATCACACTCCCGACAGCTGCCAAAAAGATGACGACTACTATCAAAGACTGACTCCTAAGCCGAATAAACTTTCGCCAACCAAGTTTATAAAGACTATTCCCCTATTGAAGTCAATTAAATGAGCATATAATGTTTGTTTATATCTTTGATATCTGTTCCTGTATTTCGAAGTGGTCCGAATTTACGATAAATATTAAGAAGACTTTCTGGTACTTCTTCACAAATTACATAAACTTGAAACTAATGAGTAATTAAAATGAATGGCATTCTTATCTCGATTTTAATAAAAGCCGACGAGAGCGTAATTCAGGACTGAAAGCGAATTTAATGAGATCCCGACTGAAGTGAAATGAGTTGTTGTTGTTGTTATCTTAATAATAATAATAAGAAGAAGAAGAAGAAGAAGAAAGAAAGAAAGAAAGAAAGAAAGAAAAAAGAAAGAAAAAGCAATAAAAAGAAAAGGAAAAAAGAGAGAAAGAACTATCGTTATTCAAGAGGGCAATGAAGCGTATTTTGTCGACAATTTTAAATGACGCCGAACTGGAATGGAGCCTTCGTTTTAATTTCCAAGATGGCTCGGGAATATTTTTTCTTTTATTCTCGTCTTACTAAGGGGAGGTAATTATCGTCTCTATCTGACTAAATCTGTGCAAATGTGATTCAAATTAACTATTTGAATACAATTCGAAATATCTGAAGTAAAAACGAAACAGTTCTTCAAGAAAATAAAAGAAACATTCTTTGTCAACGTTTTTTTATATTCAATGCTCTTTTAAAGGTGTCACAGCAAAGAATGGAAAAAACAAAATGAAGTTTTAAAAATACATTAATTTTTTTTTCCTCAAAATTAATTATTTAATAAAATTCTTTAATTAATTCCTTCCTCTGTACATTTAAATCTCTTGGTCATACAGACAGATAGGCTTATCTATAGGAATATTTACCAGACTTATTTAAGGTGTTGACCAGTTGTCAGCTTAATAGGCATCTATTTTTTCTACAGGCAACGTATCCGTAAATATGACATGAGGAATCTAACGTGAGCGTCTTTTTTTATATAATTTTTAACTACCCAGAAATCTTAAGATTTTAGAAAAATATTCTCCGTAATCTAATATTTTACTGGATTTTAGTTACTTTGATTTTAAATTTATTACAGTTATCGCTCTTATTTTTTATAATTTCCTGCACAGACGTCCATATTTAGAAATATCGGCACGTTTATATACATAAAAGAAATCAAAATTATTTTTAAAATATTGGGTGCCGCTGAATTGTAGTAAGCATTTCCATTTAGGATTAGCAAATATAGTTCTTACTTTATAATAATATCACCTAACATGTACAATTTCTGCATTTGTATGCAGAAATTTTAAAAATGTAAAACTTTATAAATTATTCGAAGCAAAATTATTTAAAAATGAAAACAATTCTTGTAAAATTCATTATTCATGAAAATTCTTCACTTTTTTTTGTTAAGATAGTAGTGTCCTCGCAAACAATAAATATTTTGATATTTTCTTTAGCTTTGAGAAGGGTCAGGAACATTCAAATGATATTTTTCCGTATATAACTCAAATAAGGGAAGACCAAGAACAACAGAAATATATTATTTGCAATTAGTATTTATTCTTTTTATTTTTTTAATTATGAACAAAAATCGTTTAATTTTTTTTGTCAAAACTTGCAACGCTAATCCTAACCATAAAAATAACCTTGACCATAAAACTAAATTATATATATTATGAAATGGACAAAGTCTGACAATTATTTTAAGACATTTTTATGTTTATACATTCTTTTTATAGATACAAATATTTAAGTAAATGCTCTGTTTTATAATAAACTGTATTGAACAACATTTACCGGCCTGAATGTCCGAGAAATTTTCACAGAAAATATTTGTCCTCCGACAGGAATCGAACCTGTATCCTATACAGAACCGTCATATAG